TACTATATTCAAGTGGGTGCCTACGCACCTTCACGCAAGACGCATACATTTTGAAGACACCATTCCGCAGATACAGAATAGATTATTCAGTTTTATGGCGGTGATTTAAGAGTGTTCTTCATAATAACGAGTCGTTATAAAATCCTTACTATCAATGTTGAGGGGGGAAGGTGGAGGATTGAAAGAAGGTGTTCAATTTCTGTTCGTTTCATGCTTCGTTGAATATAAGCAAGGTGTGTATGGTGAGACTCGAACATGGACTCGTAGTTGCTGACTGAGTGTTTGGAATGAGTGGCGGATGTCGTGGCAACAGCTATATCTTAGCTTCGCAAAACCCAGTGTCGGAAGGTGAAGTCCCTGGCCGGGTCCCATGATAACCAAGCCTTCCAACCAATACGGGACTAACTAGCTAGTTAGAGACTTTTGACGAGATCAAAACTGTCATGCACAAATGGCCGTTCTTCCGCAAGTTACTCGTTATTTTCAGAGGCCAAATCACATACAGTATACCACTACGATTCCCTGTGAGAGCAGACTGCGTGTCGCATGTAGTTCTTTTCGTCTGCCAGTAAAGAAGAAGTCAGAAAAACAAAAAAATTTAACCTCTCCCCGATGCCTTCCACGCATGATTTGCAGCTTTGGGCGGTCTTGCGGTGAATGGAGAAGCAGAGACGCTTAGCGACGCGGGCGATAGGGCAAGCAGCCGCATTAGTAGTGAAAGGGGATCTTGTATAACCAGGGGGGGGGGCGAAAAAAAGTCCTCCAGCCGAGTCAAACAATGAGTGAAGTGTTTTCGGCAGCCAGAGCAGAGGAAGTGGATAATGATAAGCAGGGCGGAAGATACCCAAGATCTTCCTCTATAAGCAGGAGCCGGCTGCCGCCATTCACCTTCATGTACACCAAAATATGAAGTCATCTCCAGTCGCGGCCTGAGTGGAGAACGCCTTTGGAATTCACGTGGCCTCCAAACAGCTGCGGAACTTCTTGAATGGAATCACCCATGGATAGCTAGCGAGACGCAGTACTCTGATCTGCGCAAGACCTCGAACAATCGAGGCAGCCCGCGCAACGTCGACTAACGGTCCAGGACATCATCTTTTACCGCAATCTACTAAGGCGGGTGTGATAGGTGTGGGACGGCGGCCGTAGCCTGAGGAATGAGAACGCTATATTTTCTTCGTGAGCCCCAGAGTGTGGGTGTGCGCTGGTGGCTACATCGAGCCAACTCGAGTAGAATGTCCTAATCTTCATGTCGTCGCCCGTACCTTCTTGGAAACTTTGTACTGCTACAGGATTGGGTGACAACACATTTAATCGAAGGGCGTTGGAAAAACTTTCGCCTACTTGGAATGGAAGAACGTTGAGTACCTGGAAAAGATGGAGTATTTAAGCGGGGGTCCTGAACTAAACCCCCTCAATTACTCGGTTCGGGCGGAGCTCAACAGGGTGGTCTACAGTGGCGGAGAAATCAACGATCTCGCTCAACTCCGGTACCACTCACTTTCGCGCGGCCGAATCTTCTCGATGGCGCTCCTCCAGAAGGCTGTGGCGGAGTATTCATATAGTATTTCATGTGGCTCCTGCAATATATAGTAAAAAATGTGCGATGGAAAATTTAATATATAAAAAAGTTGTGTACTTATAGCGGCCTTGAAAGTCGTGAAGCAAAAATGACTTTTTTTGGCACCGCCCCCCCATGATAACCATTTTCACTTTAGAGTCGGACACTTTTCAAACCATATGGACACATTCTCATACGCAACATTCGGACACTTTTTCAAACAAAATCGGAACATTTTTCAAACAAATCGACACTTTTCAAAACAAAATGCTGATGTTTTTTCAAACTGCAAATCGTGTAATTCGAAAGTATGTATCTGGCCGTGTAAAAATATGCAACTCTCCACGCCTGAAAGATGGAAACGAAAGAGCAGTGTGTGTTAAAGGGAAGCCGATCTTCGGGCTGCCACTACCGTGATCTTCTCTCGCATCAACACTTAAACGTGCGTCTGGCTGCGAACGGCCAGTGAATCAACATGAAACAGGCAAAGCTGTCACTCCAGCTCAGGCCACGCCTATTGGAATAACAAAAGGGAAGGTGGCTGACGAGTAAGCCTTTGGCTATAGTTTTGCCGCGATGCCTAAGCGGTCGCAGGCGCATTGCGCCTGATGGCCGGTAACCGTTATCTTGCCGACCTTAATTTTCTGGTTTTTTGAGGCGACAAATGTGGCACACTTTCTAATGAACTTACGGCGAGCCTATATCTACGTCCCATATTATTGTAAAAATGAAACCTCTAATTTGTCCGGCGCACTACGAAAGTGAAGGACGAAAGATAGTTATGCGAGGAGTATGAACATGAAAGATGCGAGTGTGGGGATCTGCGAATTCTTGAGGAATCTAGCAATATGCGTCCTGCCATCAACTAGTGACCGCCCCTTGTTCTTGCAAGTAGACAGAAAAACAAAGCCGAAGATTGGCACGCTCAGACAGTAGTTATTATTTTGCATTGAGCGAACCAGGTGAGAACGAAAAGAGCGCATAGGTGCCATCAAATTCTCGTTAATTGTTCCTCTGTTTAGCTATGTAGCTTGAGCGCACTCAATTTTTTTTCGAGGGCAGGATGGGTAGTGGGTGGCCCAGGTTTCCGCCTAACCGACTCTGCCCGGTAAACCGTCGTTGTGTGAGCACTTTCTGCGGTACCGGTCCTCCGCTGCAGCAAACACGCACCGTCGGTAATGGAAGAAGCAGAAGGTGAATAGGTGGCAACAAGCAGCGGCACGTGACTATTGGTAGACGTGTGGCTGAGCCGTGCAGCACCTCGCCGCAGGGTGCACTACCCTGCCATGTCCCGTTCTTTCGTGCACTTTTTGAAACGGGCGAAAGTGGGCACGCCTAATGTGAGGCTGAGGATCTCTCTTCACCTCAACATGGTGCAGTAACCCTCGGTAGGCATCGTGCATTAGGTCCAAATTAGTATACTGATATAGACATCTTCCTCCAAGTGAACTAGGTTGAGCTGAAAGTAACCCTCCTCACATAGCTTCGAGGTCTACTCTCCTTTAAAAGTGGTCGATCCTGCTTGAGTCTAAAGAAAGCTTCCAGAAGTTGATGCAGAACGGTCACGTGGAGATTGCCTGAGTGAAATAATAGCTTGTTTTTGGAATGGAAATACGCAGCAATAACTTTTTTAATTCCAGTCTGTTTTCGGAGTTCTCTAAGTGGGACGGCAAGAATGTATTTATTTTCACATGCATCTGTGAGGGGATGCAGGAAGTAGGAGAAATTCTCGTCATTTCTTCAGAGGAATTGGTTTTCATCTTTGCACGGTAGGGGTGAAGCAGAACCTCATAGGAGTAGGGTACACAATCCTTGTGCGAAACACACGGAGGGGGGATCTACTTGGGCAGCTATAGGGAAGGGGAGTATTTTTGGCGTTGTGAGAGGCGGGGGGCAGCGGGGGTGGTAGTGCCAGCTTTTGTAGAGAAACGTTGTGGCGTTGGGGAAAAAAAATTTCCTGTTGGTTTACCGATTCATACGCTATAACCCCTACCCTGCTAAACTAGTCCCTCCCAACGCAAAATCATTGATTTTCGGGTGAAAAACTGGAAAATGTGGGAAATTTCGGAAAAAACTGGCAGGCAGCTGGGAACATGTTGGGGAAAAGGTAGGTGGGAGGATGGGGTCGCACCGAGACCCTCTGTCAAGGGGGGTGTATGACACCGACTATTGCACACTGCCACATCGATGCTCTACCTGCATGGGGGCGTGCCATATTAATCCATTGTAAATAAAAAGCACTTTTTATTTCTGCCTTTGATTTTTTTCCAAAGGAAACTCACGGTGTAGAGAGTCGCGCCAAACTGGAGGTGAAGGACTCACGGTGGAAGCTATTCGGCGTGATGTTGGACTGATGTGAAAACTCTTCCTTAGGGGAGAGAGCACTTTGCTATCTCGCTAGTTCTTCTAGTTCTTTACTTTTCCCACCTGGTTCAGACATGTGAACCCTTGTGAAGCTGTGAAATAAGTGAAGCTGCCTCTTTGAGTAGATCTGTAAACTCCCGCAAGTTACAAAACGGAATGAGGATCATTGTGGATGGCTGCGACCACCTACTTTCAGTGACTTCGGTGTTCATTGTCCCAGCTGGACAACTCTTGCCCGTTGCAGGGGACGAATGAGAAACGTTACAGGCGCCGGCTCGAGGAGCTCGGATCAACGGGAACACAGATGACAGATAATAGGTGGCAGAGTGGTCCGGTAAGGCCTTTTTCCGACTACGCAAATGTCGATTGACTGGCAGTCATAATGATGTAAACCAGAGAAACTGTGGACTAACAGGGCACAGCGTTAGGATGGATACGCCTATGGCGGGGGTCGTATTTGGCCGCCAAAAGGGGGGTCGTATTTGGGCTGGGAAAAATTTATTTTTATAGTTGATTTTTCTCGCTTTGCGGACGTTTTGGAGGGGGGTCGTATTTGGTCGTTGTTGGGAGGGGGGTCGTATTTCTGGCTAGGAGTTACGTGGTTCACTTCATGAGTTTTATGAATTTTCTGTGTTATAGGTACTATGTACGCCCGTACGATGTACGTCGCATGCCTACTACATCTCCCCTCGAATGCAGTGCCCTGGTGGACAATGCTGCTAGACGAAATTGCTTAGCCCGATGGACAGACTTATCCAATGAAGGATAGAGAACGAGGTCACCGTTTTCCGCGTAGCTTCAAAGGTTTGACGCAGAAATCGTCTCTGATAATTTGGTGCCTAAGCATGACGCAAAGCCCCTACTGAGTCGCCGACACATAGGACCCGCAAATAAAATAAGTATACGTGATTTCTCTCAAGCTTCCTCTGAGAATGGTCCGTAATAAAGTATTGCAAATGAAGTCTGAATGTGTAGTCTCTAAGTGTATCACGAATAGAATCCGAATTTATAGGCACCGCGTTTTTCAAATAGAATAAAATAAATCATATAATCTCGTGGCGGCGTCATTTTTCATTCATCGATTTTGTTTATTTACGATATTAGCTTTTGATATTGTGTTCGTAGATATTAGCTTTAGGTCGCTGTTCTTCTGAGCATTGGCCACTTGGCCTCGTCTCCTTCGCAGGTGTCGCATCGCAACGAATAAGAACAACGCCAGCGCCAGCACCGCAAAGGAGTACTTGATAATATCGACCAGTTTAGGCACGAAAACGAAACCAAGCCAAATCATGTGATAGGTGTCATCGTGCAGAACTGCATGAGAATCCTCCCAAAATATCGGAATGATTGACTCAGTGAGGTGGCGATTTTGGCTGAAAGCTTCCACTTTTTTTTGAAGTAAAAATGCCTCCGGTTCACTTACATCGCTACCCTGCTCCTTATCAGTGGCATTGAAACTTGCAGCCTGTAGAACACTTCTGTTACGGATCCGGAATACTGAAATGATTACTTCAGTTGTAGCATCATGTAAGTGAAGGCCAGTCAGAAGTGGCAATGTCTCCTTCAGGTTATCACTTGAGAACTTTCCAAGTATAAACTGTTCGAGTATTCATGGCCATAAGGGTAGGAAGCAAAGCAAAGCAAAGAGGCTGTGCCATAATATCAAGAGAGAGACAAACTGTACGCTTACACTTGAGATCAGTCCTTGTAATGTGCGAAAAGAACGGATGGGCAGTACAAGTGCAACACCTTCGTCACTTGAAGGCAAGTGGCACAATAAAGCTCTAAGACGTATAGGATTAATACGTTTAGGAGGACATAATTCGGCGCTCCTGAGCAGTCGCTGCATGGCGCTTTTTCCAAGCAACGTACCCCATAGCGCCCTATCAAGCTGCAACATACCGACCAGAACGCCCACAAATGTCCCACCCATGATGATGCTCGAATCGCTTCCTTACGAAGTAACACGAAGCAAAGGGATTGATATGAGGCGTTTGCGGTGCGGTTGTGCATGGATATATAAGTACATACGTGCAGCCGTATCTACCGTAGCGGTTACTGGCACGATGCCTACGGGAAACTCGTCCGAAATACTTTCCGAGTCATGAAGAACGAAGGCTTTTCTTCGCAGGTTTTAACCGTTTCACTTCGTTTTTCGTCATTTTCCCCTCTATGTAGCACCCTGCTAGCATTTCAGACCGAGTACTGAATTATCCCTTTGAGATATGCCTTTAAGAGCGAAAGGAAATGTGGTCTGCGTAGTGATACTCAGGTACCGTTCCGGATTCCTCTAGCGCTATCCTCAAGGTACAGCACTTATTCTGGTACCGAAATCTTGCAGCGAACTCGCAGTCAGAGGGAGAAGGCAACCAGAAATGAGAGCACGCAGCTTTGCGTGGCAAGCTGTGCGGCAGCGCGGACCGACGCTGGGATCGGGACCCAGGTCCCACTACCCTTCAGTCCCATTCCTGCGCATTTTCAGTTTATTACAGAATGAGGAACGCTACTGCAGCTACATTTTCCTTCGTACTTGGCAAGGACCAGATACAGGAAAGTGAGCGTATCGTTTGTCCTTGAATATACATTTTGCGTCTATTTAGTGAGCTGCTTGGACAAAGA